CAATTCTCCGATTAGAGGCAACATCCAAATATGTATTCAGGGTGATTAAAGCAAAGAACAAGAGCATAGCTGAGTCCAACCCAGCAGCTAGCACCTGTATTTTGTTGGAAGGCTGCCCTCCAGCTGCTGGAACCCAATTTGCCCATGTGCACAGCTGGCCAAATGTGCCCAGGAATTCAAGTCGCCCAGAAACAGCTCTTAACCCATGTCTAATGGATCTGGGAGTATCAGTATCCCAGCTCCTTGGCCCTTTGGCTAGGATAACTCTGAGTTGCATTTTATGCCATTTTCTAGTGCTCCCCCAAGGGATTAAGCTCCACTTGCCCACTCTGGCAGCTGGCTTAACATTGCACCTCTTATTGGTTGGCTTCCCTTTCTTCTCCTCCTTCCCCACTCCTGACCTGGTATCTCTGCATCTCCTAAATAAACCACATACCCTTGATCCTCATCTCAGGGTCTGCTTCTGGGGGAATCCCTGCACACTAGCCCTTCTCAAAGGTGCCCAGAGGGCTACCAGTGACAAAACACCAGTGGATCAGTGCCAGTGAGATATTCTGGAGCCCTGGCATGCATGCCCCCTGGGAACTTCAAAGGTCCCAGCCTGCTATCCCTTACTCATGAGGCCCCGGCATGTCTTGGGCATTCAGAGAACATCATACTCACACAGATATTTATCCGGCCCCTGTGCAACAGCCAGAGTCTAGGCCTGGGTCACATAAATCAATGCCTTGTGACTCCACAAAAGGGACAGCTCGTATTTCTATTGATCTATCTTTATCCAGTAATGATTCCCCAAAACAATGCCCTAGTGTTTAGCACTGAGCAGCTGGAAATGGTCTCCTGTCTGCACACACAGATAAATATGGGTGACCTTCCTCTGTGATGGATCGGTGCCAATGGCATTCGTGTACACTTGAACAGGAAAATGATGCTTGGTTTGTTGGGAGATGAATGTCCCTTCACACAAACTGCATGTCTCTTTGCCTTACTTGTCCTAAAGATGATGCTGCCAGAATAATAAGAATAATTGCTATATGAACCATACACCAAGATTTATTAAACATTGTGTTCTAAGTAGTGAGTGAAGCACCATGTCTCAATGAGTCCTCACGAGAGTTCTCTAAGGTAGGTGCTATTATATCCCCACTCTCATTTAGGACAAGGTGACTGAGGCTTCTAGAGCTTCAGTAACTTGCCCGAGGTTTCACCTTGTTAGGAACAGTGTGTCAAACCCAGCTCTGAGCCACATGTAACACACAGGATCGGCTACATCTTTTGCTGGGCCTGGTGAAAAATGAAAATGTGGGGTCCCCATTACAAAATTATTAAGAATTTCAAGATGGCATCAGCAGAACATTCAGCCAAATGCAGGGCCTTTTTAAGCGTGGGGCCGTAATTGCCCAGGCTGTAGGCCCATGGAGCTGGCCTGGTTATGTGGGTGCATAAGAAAGTGAAGTGAGTGATGACAAGGGTTCCAATGGTTACATTCTGTCTTAGTCATCTGGTGCTGCTATAACAGAAATACCACAAGTGGATAGCTTTAACAAAGAGAAATTTATTTCTTCACAGTAAAGTAGGCTAAAAGTCCAAATTTAGGGCGTCAGCTCCAGGGGAAGGCTTTCTGTCTCTGTTGGCCTTCTCATGTATGTTCCCCCGGACTAGAAGCTTCTCTGCACAGGGACTCCGGGTCCAAAGGACACGCTCTGCTCCCGGGACTGCTTTCTGCTTGCTTCCCTTTCCTTTTATCTCTTGTAAGATAAAAGGTGGTACAGGCCACACCTCAGGGAAACTCCCTTTACGTTAGATCAGGGATGTGACCTCAGTAAGAGTGTTACAATTTCACCCTAATCCTCTTTAACATAAAATTACAATCACAAAATGGAGGGCAACCACACAATACTGGGAATCATGGCCCAGCCAAATTGATACACACATTTTTGGGGGGACATAATTCAATCCATGACACCTTCTTAACCCTAGAGACTGAGAAACTGCTCACATTATATTGACAACAGTTCAGAGAGTTTGGCTATTTGGTCAGAAGAGATGGCCATTTTCTGTCAGGAGCTATCAATTGGTTCATCTGGTAGACCAGCAGCAGACCTATACATATACTGTATCTCCCTCAACAGGCCCATAGAGAAATGAGTGGAAGAGTGCGGTGGCAGGAGAAGAGACTTTTTGGGCCAGGTGGCTCTTGAACTTCTCATGGCTCACGGGAAGCCCAGGAACAGATGCAGAGACTTGTGTGTGTGCTTGGACAAGACTTCTGATCAGGATGCCAAGTGCAGGTTCCACCAGAATTCTACCAAAGAATTGAGGCAGTCATGACAAAATTAGCAACGACTAGCCAAATTTTCCTATAGCTCATATCTTGCCCTTTTGAGGGAAGGTGGCCACTCCATCAGGGCACATGGGAAGAGCCAGATGCACGGTCACTGACCCTGGCTTGGCCACTGGCTGTGTGACCTGGGACAAGTTTTCTCATCTGTAAGACGGAGAGAGTGGTATCTACCTTTCAGGGTAGTTGGAGGAGTTGAGTTACTGTATAGAAAGTACTCGGCACAGAGTAAGTGCTCAACTAAATGCTTCTACAGTCCAATGGCTGCCGCCCACCATGAAGTTTTCTGGGCTGTTGAACCAGCCCAAAAACTGAAGGTAAACAATACAGGTTGAATCCTGAACACCTTCCCCCACCTATTAGTTGCATAAACTGGAGAAAGTCAGTGAGCTCCTTCCAGGGCCAGCATCCCCCTCTACAGAATGTGTGCTGTACACTGTCTGTGACACAGGATTCCATGAGCTGCAGGTGAGCGGGGCATGGAAACTAGAGCAACGATTATTTTTATAGTCACTCAGGGTTTGTTGTCATAGCCTGTAAATGTTCAGGTCTTGGAGGGCATTGGAAAAGGGGCTATCATCTTCTTTCCCAGATTCCTACTGTCCTCAGGGATGCTCAGGGGTCTTCTTGCCTGTGGCTCTCTTACAGGGGGCTAAGCAATCTATATGATTTTTTTCCCCTAAAAGTTTTGCACATCTCCATGTTCTTGACTCCAAATTTGCCCTACTCCATTTCAATTCCTGCTCTATAGTCAAACCCAGAGCATGCTGAAAAAGAAAATGATTCAGGCCAAATCCTGCACAGCTGGAAGAAGCTACTCCATGCAGGCATCTCAGTCTTGATGTGTTTTTGTAGGATAATATCAATCATAAATAGAAGTTAGAGATGATTTCTGTTTTGCTGGAAATGCACCCACCCTGACCAAATAGCTCTGTGCTTTAAGAAATTCAATGAGCATAAAGGATTCTATTTTTCTTCGAAAATACGACATGTATATAAAGCAATAAAATTTGAAATTCTTTCCAAAATTTCCATGAAGGGCGCAGTGGGAGGAAAATTGGACATCATCTAATCATATACACAAATTTTATACAAAGAAATGCGTGCACGGTCGCCTTAGTGCAGCCACTGTCATTTACATTTAAAACACTTTTCTGGAACATTCCATATTCGAGTCACTCACGCACAGGGCCAGGTTACCACAGATGGAAACTGGGAATCAGTTTTCTGCTCTGCTCAAACTCCAGCCTCTTTAATACCTCTCCCCACTGGTTTTCCTAACTTGTTCTGCACATCGGCCTTTTTAAGAAGGCTTCTGTAAATAGCAACTCCGAAGTCCAAGGCTTCTCTCACCAGAAGCCATCTCTCCATCA